ATATATATATATATATATATATATATATATATATATATATATATATATATATATATATATAGCAAAGCATATAAATAGATTTTAAAAAATCTGCATAGATATTAAAAGTTACCTCAATGATGACATGACATAAGAGAGCTCTGATTTTAATAAAATTTTCTGAATCAAATGCTCGAGAGTATCAAATATGTACAAAATTCAAAAAATGTCTATTATCGTTTACAATGTGAGAGAGTCTGTTCTTTATATACAAGTGGACTAGACTTATGTAGTCTGTTCTTTTTAGCTGCACTGCTGAATTGGCACACTAAATTAAAGTGAGACAAGTATATTTTTTCTCATTCTAACTGATTGCGGCTGCGTTCGGAAACGTCAACCAAATGTATTCTTTACGTTGGAGTGAGCGAGATAAAAAGAGTGAGATAAAAAGAGAGGAAGAGTACTCGAGTGACGTTTCCGAACGCAGCCTGCATCAGTCAGCAGTGCAGCTAAAAAGAACACCAATAATTTGGACTTAAAATGACGTAGGCATATGTTTGACTCGTAGTAAAAATGAGAAGAAAACAAAAAAATTGCAGAAAATATATCTTTGAAAAACGAACTTAACAAAGCCAAGTTCACGTTCGAAAACATCATTCGGGTGCGCTCCCTCTCTTTTCATCTCATTCTCGTATCTCTCGCACTCTAAAGCAACAAGTGTACCCGGGTGTCGTTTCCAAACGTAACCTTAACTCGGAACTTAACCTCCAACTCGGAATCGCGCCATATTTGAATGTATTGTCGAGTTTTATGATTATATAAACTGCGTTTGATATTGTAAATTGAAGACATCTGATTGCTCTTTCATCTCAAAGATGCATAGAAATGAAAAAGATACGAGATCTCATATCTCTCTCACTTAAGAGCAAAAAGAGCACTTAAGAGGTAAAAGAGCAATCTGACGTCTTCGACTTACAACGCAGCTACAATTTTACATATCACTTGGTAATCTTACAATTCATTTGCGAACATAAATGTTGCCGAATTTTGCGCACATTTGAATAAATTTTATTAAAATCAGGGCTCTAGTTTGTGTAGGAAGATATGTAAACACCAACCCACTGTGCAAATAGTAAACGTTACATATTAGATATGTAACATATATGTTTAATATCCTACTCAGAAACATTTATTCTACATAATAGCTCAGAAATGTAGCAAAAATATTTCTACTACATTTCTGAGCTATTATGTAGAAGAAACGTTTCTGACTAAGATATTAAACATATATCTCAGACAACATAATATCTAAAATCAGGACATAAGGTGCCTTAAAGATCATCTTTAAGATGTCTTTCAGACGATTTACGTATAAATGTCTTTAAGGCATCTTAAAGATTATCTTTAAGACGTTTTATGCTCCGATTTTAGACATTATGTTGTCTGGGATGTTACATATCTAATATGTAACGTTTACTATTTGCACAGTGGAAAGTATGACAGTAATATAACATTGATGTTACTTATAATATGTTATGTACATGTTATATAATATGTAACAATTATATAACCATATAATTGAACTGATACTGTAACATCGATGTTATGTTATCGATACTTGCTGTTTACTAAATGCTAACAGGCTATCATTTAACTCATTAACTCGTAAAGAAGACTATTTTCTCGTTGAACAAAATCTTCAAAATTTGGAGCAATCTGGAGCAACGAAATTACGCTTTTGATTCAAAGTATAGAGTAACGCAAAGTATAATAAATAAAATAACAAAACGAGCTCACGCAGAAAGAAGAAAACTGACGCAACATATAATTATATAATATATACACAATTATCGATATAAAATAAAGAATACAAGTATTAATATAAAATAAATGAATAAAGTATCAATATAAAATAAAGAATCTTAAATATCATGTAAAGACGGTGAGAGATACAAACAGCCACACATCGTGAGATCCTTCTTTATTCGGAGTACAACTCTTTCGTGAAGACATGTAATCCCAGGAATACAATGTAGACACAATTACGTATGGAGATGACTGGAAGACGTACGAGATCGTTTTACTTAGGTGCGAACGAAAGCAATAACGGATGATACGCTCATTTCCATCGAGATGGTCCCGTTGATGTGCCACCTTCAACTTCTTACAACGAATTCTCTAAAAAATCTTACGAGTCCGCTAAAGGGGAGGTGCTCTACTCGTGGTCGATTCGACGAATGTGGATTGTCCGTAATTGGTGCTGGGAGAGTGTTCTACTAACTAATTCCCACAACTAATTCCTTGTAAAGAGGGGCATATTCAAAAATATCACTTCCGTGAGACTCCGCGATATACGTCGACGGCGCGATTTTTCGGTGCCGACCGCTTTTGCGTCCCTTTCTCGTGACAATCCAGCGTACGTTATCGACGATACAACCGTGCGCAGAAATCGCGCGCTAATCGAAAGAACAAGTAGACGAAACTGATATGTAACGTTTCCAATGTTATCCGCAAGAGACGAGCGAATTTTTGAAGGCCGTCTCGCGTTCTATTCTTAGCTAATAATTTTGATTCTTCTCGCAGGGAACGATCGGGAATGGTAAAAATGTATCGATCAAGAATTACAATTGAAGCCTAGAAATCTGCTTGAAATCAATTCCCAAACAAGACGAGTACAAGGTGGACATACATAATTCCGAAAAAGAAAGTGCCGAAATTCTAAAACGTCTACTTGGACAACGTCCTGAAAAAGCCACAATTCCGAAATTGGTTAATGATACAACGTAACTAAAAATACGATTTTTCCGAAATATTAAAAGCATGCCACTTAAAAAATTATCTTAAAAAATTATACTTCCAAAAACTGAGTCTGCCGAAATATCGAAAACATGAAGTTATCAATAAGTCGTCGCATAACCTTGTACAACTTCAAGCTTTCAATATTCCGAGAAAATTGTATTTCGATACGTTGTCCCGTAGTCAGTTTTCGGGATTGTGATTGTGTCGGGACGTTGTCAAATTTCGGGCTTTTGATCTTTCGGAGTTATGCATGTTCACCAAACTCAATAAGCTTTTTACTCTTTGCGAGAATTCTTTTGAACTTCGATTCGTCTGTCGTGTTTTCAAAGAAGGATAGAGAGAGACAGATTCAGAGAGACCGATTTTTTTTCTTTTCAAATCAATTTGCTACGAGACAGCAGGTCGAAATCTAATTCTTCGCCCCTTCGTCCCCGGGAATAACGAGCGAACGATCTATCTCGCGAACACGATATATCCCCATTGCATCCTTCACTTGTATCGAAATGAGTGGCGGTACCAAACGTTCCGTCAGCTCCGGCAAAAGAGATCAAACTCGCCGACCTAAAGTTGTAAATCGTTAGACAAAGTTATCCTCGGGATGTATATATCACATTGGAGACTACCTATCTACGCGACTATCTATAAACAATCGATTTCTCGTCGTCGTCGTCACCGTAAAAGTGTACAACTACTACATCCCGTCACTTTCTCGCACAGTGTGGTCGCCTACCCACAAACGGGAAACGCTAAACTTATCTTGATACGACTATCTCGTGTGGGAGAATAATTTTTCTTCTCTTTTCCTGATATGATAAAATACTCTGGAAATACGATTCTTCATCTGTTTAACAAAGTCGCGTTACAAATCACCGCGTCGCTGTTCATCTCTATACGATTACAAAAGTGATACCCGGACGCTCGCGCAGCCGCGAGTCCGCAGGAAGTACACATGCACATGATCTCCAAAAGGCTAAGGGAGAACCTACAATAAACCGAACGCAAAGTATGTGTGTGTCTCTGTGTATGTGTGCGCGACTATAAAAGTAAACGACATGTGGTTGGTTCTCGTCTATACAAAACTGTGGTTTCCTTCAGCTACACCTAACTTCACTTTGTCATACGTGGGTTACATGCGTTTTTTTCTTCTTAATATTTGGTTCCTTGGATGTCCTATATAATACTTTAAGAGAGTTTGTATAATATATATAATATCATATATATATGTATAGGAATATATGTAATATTCACAGGATATTCCAAAAAAGGGTTCAAGACTTACAAAATAAGCAGTACTCGCTGCACTGAATAAAAAATGTCTAGTAAACATGGGTCGAAAAATCAACCCTTTCAGAGTTATAAATGTTTTTCGGTTTTGGTTACGTAAATAACGCAAGTTATTTGTGTACTCCCATTGATTAAGCGATGAATAAACGAGCGACAAATGTTTTACTATGTTATCATTTTGATGTTTATAAAAGGTGTTTACGTGTCCTCTTTCAAAAATTTCTAGTTTACGAATTAGTTCCATTTCTGCACAGTAGTATTTACGTTATCATCTTGCATGTCTAACATTTCCCGATTAGAACAATAAATCGACATAGTTGAAAGGATTCTTGCTACGACGTCTCTTGAAAATTACGATCACTGATCTTAAGGCTCTGCTATTTCTAGGGCGGCCATATTGGTTTGATGACATCAGAAGCGAGAAATGACACACCGAAAATTAGTTGCATTTTATTGCTTTATTTTTTACTTTTCTTTGAAGAATCAAATATTTTCCTAATCTTGAAACCTATAAAAAGTACAGCAAACTCAGATATCTGGCTGATATATCACGTAGCATCATAAAATAATTCCTGAAATAATGCTACATTTTTCGGCTGTCACGGTGGTTTGTGACAGCTGAGATCAGCATGTATGAACACATTTAATTTCTCGATTTTCACGATGTATCACCAGTATCACTGAGTCTGCTGCACATTTTACAGCTGTGAGGATCACGATAATATATACACTTCACGGAGAAACTGCAAAATAACACGATAAAACGCAACTAATTTTCCGAGGTGTCAAACGAGGCCTAGCATGAGCCTGGCCTAGTGTTAGCCTATCAGCTACGTTGACACGGTTATTTCGTGTTCTCGACACTAGTGTAGGCGCCACCGTCAATTTAGACTTTCTGCGGGGAGATAGCAGAGCCTTAAGGGGACAAATGACTATACTGTGACGCAAAATGATAATGTGAATATTATTGCGTAGAAATAAAATTGATTCAAAGAAAACAAAGCATTTTTAAAAGAAGACATTCGTTTTGTTTAACATCGTAAGTATATAACTCCGAAAGAGTTAACTTTTCGACCTATGTTTACTCAACGTTTGTTACAATGAATACTGTCTACCCTGCGAGTCTTGTATCCTTTTTTAAATATCCTGTACATAATACTGTGCACGTTGATTCGAATACGTTGAGGGATTCGTTAGTTTTCTTCTTTCTGATATATAATCGTTTCACTTCAACCTCGTAAATTCGCCACGCATTCAGTGCGCGAAACGCGATCGTGTCCGCGACGTCGAATATCTATCTTGAAACGTTTTACATAAAGCGCGAGGTCTACATAAAACAGGAGATTTTGACGGAACGTCGTTCACGCTCAGAGCTTAATCCGCGACGAAAATACGGGTCATAGTGCTTGATCGGTATGTAACACGTCCTCGTAGTAAATAACTCCTATATGAGGAGAAGTCACACAGTTGTAAATCCTGCGAGTATTTCTATCGCTATTCAATCTCTCATATATCAGGTCATCTATTGTCACTAGGGGGTTGCTCGATACTCGTTGGCGTTATTCAATCGTATATAAGTGTATAAGGGTATATAACGTGGCTATATAATCGTACAGTTTGCGTGTCTAACCCTTTTCGGACCCGGACTTGCCGCTTGAAATTATTTACTTTTATCGTGCACGTTGCACCTTTGTTATAAACTCCGCGTGGATTCAATTGTTTGATTTTTTTGCAAAAAAAATACTGTAGCTTTAAACTTCTCTTTTCTTTTTTTTTCAAAATGCAATAAATTTGTTCAATATACAATAAATGAGCTGTGCAGCGCCGCGGAGAACTTTACTTATCGGAAAAGGAGATGTGGCAGTCCGGGAAGGGTTAGACGCGTGAGACGAGTTGAATTATACGATCGTGACTAGAATAGGAGTATGAATCGACTAGGATATGACAGAGATATGACAAAGAGTATTATCGAGTCTCACGAGACCAATTGTCGTCCCGCGATAACGACTATTATAACGACTAAGCTCAGTAATATCGTTTCTCGCCGCAAGTACCGGCCCGCGAGTGACGCCCCGGGCCGATTTCCGTACTTTGCGCGCGATTAATTAATTTGTAGATTATAGGCCGACGTCTACAAAAACATCCTTTCGTCGAGTCCGCGTGGCGAATGTGTTTTCTTTTTTTTTCCGATAACTATATGATACGCTCTCCTACATCTTCGATAAATTACTGAAAAACTACGATACGTATCTACGGGTCGAAAACCGAATAAGACGGTCTATCGCGGGAAGCAATCGCGCACGGTATTTACATAGTAAGACATTCGGGGCTCGCTCCTCTAAGAGATCGCGAAAGCAAGCGGGCGAGTATCAGAAAATCATCGACGTTCTACGCGGAAAAAGTGTTCAGTCTAATCGACTAACAGCGCACTCGAGATAAACTATCAATGAGGCCGCCTACATAAGAAAAAAACATTTAGCCGAACTGGCTGCTCGTTCTCATTCATTCGAGCGGCACAACCGTCTCCGTGAACGCTGGTTACACCATCGTCGGCCGTGACGAGCGTGTCGCGTCTCAAGATTTTATAGAAAAAAAATCTACGCTAGGCGTTCTACGCGGGACCATGCCTTCGGCGCCGTTTTGATTGAGTACGTCGTCTACGACGCGAGACGAGAGACTGAAGGCATATCCACGATCGAGAAAAAGAGGGGGAGAAAGAAAGAGAGAGAGAGAGAGAGAGAGAGAGAGAGAGAGAGAGAGAGAGAGAAGTGGAAGAAGGAGAAGACGATTCTTTCCTTCGTTTAAAGAAAGAAACAAGAAACGTAATTTTGATCTAACAATAAAAATAAAAACGCCGAGCGTAAATTCTACAAGAATACGACATCATACTTAAATTACTTCGTAATTTAAATATGAGAGATTGTGCACACTCAAGGTAAACGTTATACATATGTATATATATAGACCTTGAATTAGATAGCTCTCAAGATACGACGGATCCCATTCGTTCGTCGATCACAATCACCGGACAATAACTCCAGATTTCCTGTTTTTCTACCTCCTCCCTCTCTCCTTGCCCGCCTCTCTCCTTACCGCCTATCAGGTTATCGAGAACCCAGCGCGCGTTTTTCTTGTGTCACGAATCAATCTGACCTACCATCCTTTAAACCGTCTTCGAGAGCCCATCTAATTAAACGACCGCCTCTTATTGGTCGGCTTACGCCGACATGAACGATATCGCGACGGTAGTCAAAGGCGAAGCGAGTTGTGCGCGGCGGTTGACGCTCGTCGTTATCCGATACTCTAGAAACTCTCGTCGATGCCCCGATCCCGCGCCAGGTTGAAAACTTCGAAGTCGCCGTCCGGCGCCTCGGGTATGTCCGGTGCGACCAATATTTCGGGCCGTAGCGCCACGCAGTCCCTCGGCGAGCATTCGACGCGTCCTTCGGAGCCGCAGCTGCACTCCACACAGTTCCCGGTCGAGTGCGGCAAAGTCTCACCCTGTCGATACTCCCGTCCTGTAATTCAAGTCTCACGAATACGGATTTCGCATGGGAAAGCATATGCACGTCGCGTATGTACACATTTACGTGCGTACATGCATATAAACGCGTACCAAGCAGTGCATAAGGCATGTAAGAGCGAATATTCCAAGCGACGTCAAGTGGAAAATAAATTTTACGAGAATAAAATAGCCGCGCGTTCTACAAAGTACGCTAGAAGTAAGTTCACGATAACACATCATTTTCACGCTTCGAAATCACAGAATTGTGCAAAATAGCTGGAAACGCAATGAAACTTCATTTCGCGTGTGGGGAGAATAATGAAGATTTGCGGGAGCGATGGAGAGCTTTAAGTCTAATACATCGACATTACGCGGGAATCATTCGCTACGTATGAGAGCTAGTCGTGCGTAAATATATCGGGGATCAAATATAAGTAGGAGAAATTTCATGTACCCATTACGAGGCAAGTAGTCGGCGCGGAAGGCGTCGCGGTCGTCGAAGTCGCATTAATTTCCACGTGACCTTGCTGGCCGATCGGAGAGTCCGCCGCTACTCCCGGATCCCCGGATGCTTCAAAGCCATCCGCAGTATCCGTACTGGCTTCAAGCGACGGTGTGTAATTGCTCTCCACCGTAGTCGATTGCAGGGAAGACGGGCCGAGCGACGGGGCGGTGCTAGGATTATAATTCTGCCACCAACAGTAAACTTCGCCAGCGACGCACAGGCAATGCGAATTCGTGTCGTAAGATGGTATCTGAAAGGAGCACGGAAATAATCAAATAATCTGCAAAATCAAAAAGCTCGATCTCCCTTTAATGAAGAGACAACGATAATAAAAAAGAAAACAGAAAATAATAAAGAAACAAAAATCAAAAGTCACACACACTGTGTGTGTGAGGGAAAAATATCTAAGAAATAAAAAAAAATATATAACTATATATATATTTATGTTTGTATATAAAAAATATATAAATATATAAATATATAAATATATATATATATATATATATATATTTTATATATATATATATATATATATATATATATATATATATA